TCTTCAAAGTTTTCAGAAATCCAAATCATAAGGTAGCAACCTTAATACTAAAATGATGGAATTTCAAATTTTTGGTATGTTGAGATTTTGTGTCTAAATGATCATTTGGGACCAATTTAATCTGAGATTTGAAACCGAAATCTCTGAAAAAAGGACGTCAGAAAAATTGAGAAATTAATAAGCAGATGGATCTAGAGCTAAGAATTCACTAATCAATTTGTCTGAAGGTATAATCGTTTCCCTTCTCTACTGCTAAATAAGCAAAACCCTCCAGTTTGTAAAGAGGCAAAGCCACCTTTTCCATAAACAGGACTTTTTACAACAGAACGGGAAATGTAAAGGGCTGCATTATTCAACAGGACAAAAAAGCCAACACGGCAAAGCCCGAGATTAACTTTCCAATGTTGCATCTTTGGTTTTTCCTTCAAACGGAACGCTCTTTACAAAATTAAAATTTTCTTGTACACCAACACAATTTCCTATCAAGTAATTATTGTAAATCCTGTCACGTCAAATTCAAGTTATTGATTGGCCCTGTCGAGAGAAATATGGATCGAGTTTAGCTCCAGCTAATTGCATGTAGTGAAGTGATTAAGATGCCGCAAAACTCCATAGTTTAGCTCGGAAGTTTCCGCTCGATACGGCTGTTATTATTGTATCTCTTGGCTGCAACTGAAACTATTTCGGCTGTAAAGTTCGGTCGGCGGAGTTTACCTCCCCCATGTCGATGTCGAACTTTAATTGGCAATTGTTTTAATTGACATGGGAGTTTGAGAGTTTCAATCGGATATAGATTTGCTACTACCTAGTAATCCATTTTGTCATCAAAAAATTTTGGCATCTTTCATTTTGAATGCCGAGGAGAATATTGTCCATGATTCTTTGGAATGTGGACGGAGAATTTTTCAATCCAAATGGCATACGTACGAATTCGTAATGGCCATTTTCTACGGAAAAAACGGTTCCCGAAACATTCTTGGGGTCTACTTCTATTTGGTGAAAACCTGAGACTAGGTCAAGGGTGGTAAAATATTGACATTTTCCCAATTGATTCAGAAGATCGGAAATATTAGGCAGCAGGTATTTGTCGTCTACAGTAAGTTCGTTGACTTTAGGATAGTCCATTACGATGCGCCATTTGGGATTGCCAGAAGCATCAAGTTTTTTAGGAACGACCCAAAAGGGAGAAGACCATGGAGATACAGAATGGCGAATTATGCCTTGGTCTAGCATTATGTAAACTTGGGATTTGACTTTTTCTTTGTGGATTATTTGAGGGTACCTGTTGGGTTCTATTTTGCAGAATATTGGTTGTTGATTTGCTGTGCCTGAGTAATTAACTGTTGTTGTTTTTTTCAAATTTTGATTTAGGTATTGAGTGAAGCTTATTGTCTATATTGATTGGTTGTATGGCAAATTTTTCCACAAGAAAAGCATTCTATGGATGATTGTGGTTTGTTGGTCAAAATTTTTTGAACAGGAGGTTTTAGAGTCTTCTGATTTTTAAAATAGGAAAGTTTGATTTCTCTCCCGATTCTACATTGAGCATCTAAAAAAGAGTGTGGGTTTCCAGCTCTGATTATCTGGCCAAGGCGGGGTTCTAGGCCTGTAAGAAGAGTGTTTAGAGCCATATATTCCACAAGGGAAGACTGTGCTTCTTTTTGATCTACTGTTTTAAGATAGAAGAATGCATTTTTGCATTCACTACTTAGAGTCTGTTGTAGAAAGTAAGGGGGGACTCGTCAGGTAGTTATTTGAGTCGTTAGAGTTCATGAATAAGAGGTGAGAGATTTCTAGAATCTCCAAAGTGTAAATTCAGAAGTTGTTTGATTTCCAAATAGGCATTGGGGTTTCGAGAGCTTATCAGTTGAACTAAAAAGATTTGATCTCCTTCAAATTCAGGAATTATCGAAAATATTTCGGAAAGTTTGTATGGTTCATTTTTCACCTGGTGATGAGACGCGTCTGGAGGTCATTGTAGTCGTGAAATTTATATAACAGCTCCCCCATTAAGTAAAAAGTTGGTGCTTGGCAGCAATTTTCCTAAAAACCAACTGGATTCTTGTGTAGATTAGTCATCTCTTGTTCTGAGGGTAGATTTGGATGAACCGTGTTTCGTTGTTCTTCTTTGCTAGTATTTTCCAGTGCTATCAGGCATCTGTATGTGTTTCTTGCTTTTTTTTATCGTTTCTTTCGTGAATAGAGAAATAGTCGATTTTTTCCCGTAGTTTATCTCTTTTGTTCGACGGTTCCTGGTTCTCTTTTTTTCGGGAGACTGCGCCTATATTTTTTGTCTATACACCTCTTTGTTATGTAGTTCTGGGTTACTCCGAATACCAAACCGCATCATTTAGTAGGTGATTTATGTCTCGATGTTTTTTCCTTAGGAATGGAGTTGATATACACATAGCAGGTATCCTCAAAGCCTTTGTGCTTGAGAAATTCGGTTATTGAGTTGAAGGAAGTGTTGTCAAAAGCTCCCTCTATGTTCACAAAGGAGCTTAGCATCACCTCTCTGTTCTCCAATGTGGTCTCCACTATGCTGACCAGCTGGTGATACGTTGTTTCTGTTGACATCCCTGTCCGATATGGATATTGGTCTGGATCTAGTGGTCGGTTTACCAACTCACCGTCCTTAATGTGCTTATTCACAAATTTTTCCAGTGTTAGGAATTAGGGAGATCTTTTCCTATAGGGCTTTGTGACAAAACTGCACCGATGGCAAAAGCGCTTGCGTTGGTGGTTAATAGAAATGTCTCTTCGAAATTGGGATAGATCAGGATTGGGTCAGAAACTAGTGCATTTTTTAATTCATTGAATGCGGATATGCATTCTGGGTTAAAGTGAAATGGGACATCTTTTTGAAGGAGTTTTGTCAAGGGCTTTGATATTTTACCAAAATTGGGGATAAATCGACGATAATATCCTGCTAATTCTAGAAAGGATTTAATGTCTTCTGGATTTTTGGGTGTGGGGAAGTTCTGAATACAACTAGTTTTTGCAGGGTGCGGTTTTACACCGTTTTGAGTGATAAGGTGTCCCAGGTAAGTTACTTCTTTCCGAAAAACCCCCATATGTCCGGCTGGATTTTTGAGTTAGCTTTACGGAGGCGTTTAAATTCTTCGGTTAGCCTTGAAATATATTCGTGGATGGTAGGAAAGTAAACGATAATATCGTCCATGTAGACTAAGCATCTTTCATTTTGAATGCCGAGGAGAATATTATCCATGACTCTTTGGAATGTGAACGGGGCATTTTTCAATCCAAATGGCATACGTACGAATTCGTAATGGCTATTTTCTAAGGAAATAGTACATCACGGAGGTGGAAAGTGTTTTATTATTGTCGAGAGATACTATGGTTGACCGAGGTGCGAAGCGCCGAGGTCAACCAATTTTCGAGACAATAATGTGAAAACTTTCCCTTGAATTATGTATACTATTTTATTTTGAACCATTAATTATTGAAAAAAATAAGGTGAAAATATGACAAAAATAGAATTTCGACTGACAGTCTGACACCAACATTGCCATCTTATGATATTTCAACAATATAAACACATGTGACATCTACTCCTAACTACAAACATTGCACCTGGATTTGTGTTTAGGTGTGAAAGAACAATTTATCAGAACCGAAAATGACAGGAGAACAGTCACTTTCGGCCTGCTTTAAAGTAAACAAAAGGAAAGTGAAATTTTCGAACCTTCAAACCAGTAAGGAATGTGAAAATTACATACATGGTTTAAAATAAAAGCGATTTTCCAAACCTATATTTAGTGAAAACCTGAGGCTAGGTGGAGGGTGCGGTAAAATATATACAGGAGGAGGTTTTGTAGTCTTCTGATTCTCAAAATAGGAAAGTTGAATTTCTCTCCTAATTTCACATTGAGCATCTAAAAGAGAGTGTGAGTTTCCAGCTCTGATAATTTAGCCAAGGCGAGGTTCTAGGCCTGTAAGAAGAGTGTTCAGGGCCATAGATTCCACAAGGGAGGACTGTGCTTCTTTTTGATCTACTGTTTCAAGGACTTTTGGATAGAAGAATGCATTTTTGTATTCAGTACTTATAGAAAGTAAGGGGGGACTCGCCAGGTAGTTGTTTAAGTCGTTGGAGGTCATGGATAAGAGCTGAGAAATCTCTAGAATCTCCAAAGTTTAAATTTAGAAGTTGTTTGATCTCCAAATAGGAATTGGGGTTTCGAGAACTTATCAGTTGACCTAAAAAGATTTAATCTCCTTCAAATTCAGGAATTATCGAAACTATTTTGTATGGTTCAACTTCCACATGGTGATGAGACGCGTCTGGAGGTCATTGTAGTCGTGAAATCCATAAAACATGTATAGGAATAGGAACTGAATTACTCAAAATCCAATTATTTCGGAAACTCATTTTGCTAGCTTAAAATATTACTTAAAACCCCAATTTAATTATGCATTTCTAACGGTGCAACATAATTATTACAGCACAAGGGGCCTAATACGAACGAACCTTCCATCAAAATTATGGCTGCACTTAATTAAGTTTTAGCCTATAAATGGAACGCTTTAATGACGTTTTAAAAGCCCATTGTGTTCGATTTATTGATAACATCTATCTACATAGAATCGCACTATTTAGAGAAAGTTCACTTAAGATATTTTCTCTTGAAATCCTGCCAACATAAAAACGTGTACAGAGTTCTATTTAATAACCTTGTTAAATTATTCAAACAAACAATTCGGAGGTGAAGTATAATTTTTTAATAGAATATATAGAGCGTTTTTAACTGTTCTATAAAAGTCAAATTGAACCGTGTAACACTTGAAGATAAAGATATATTTTATTCCATTTCAAATCGTATAAAGTTATCTCCTATAAAATGTACCATATATACATGACAGAGTTGCAGCTTTATCTCTGTGTTCTTTTTAAAGCCTTAAGTTTTTATTTTCCATTTTTATTTTCATCTGCCGACAAATACGAATTTACTGTCGGATTAAATTATTTTTATTTGTTTCAGGTTCCGTTTATCCGTTGGAAGCTGCTTTAAAAAATGGAGGCTCTCGAGACCAACCTACAACAGCAACTTTAACAATAACCCCAACCAAAGACGACGACGAAGCTGTATTCAGATGTGAAGTTTGGAATCGAGCTCTTTCATCCGATAAAGTTTTAACATCAACTGTCTCACTCAGCGTACAATGTAAGTATATCTATGATTTTAAATCAATTCTCTGGCTCGGGATCAAATTTAATCATTAGAGAACTTCCTAATAATAAAGTAAAATTTCTCATTAAAAGTTATATAGTTTCCGGAGAAGAGAAGCATTTAATATAGATATCTGGCAACATAATGGCAACTTTTCATTAGGCACGATTCAAAGCGCTTTTGCTAGTTTGGAGTGATTTAATTTTCACAGGAGCGATTTGATTATTCTATTGGAAAAACTTTTAATAAGCTTAAAATTATATAGAAGTCATTGGATCAAAATTTAAATAACAATCTATAAGAAAATTTAGTGGTTGGATGAGATTCAATTATGAAGTGTTGCTCTATTTATTGGTTAGTTAGTCATCAGTTTTGAATCAATTTTCAGTGATTCATAGAACATGAGTATTTTATTCATAATGACTGAAGAAGCATTAAAGAAGCCTGAGAAAGTTGAGGAGATTTAGGAAAGTATAAGGTAATATTATGGAGGAAGTATGAGGAAGATAATGAAAATGTTCATACTTAGATTGTATCTATTGTATCTATTGAAGAAGCATTAACGAAACCTGAGAAAGTTGAGGAAATTTAAAAAAGTATAAGGTAATATTATGGAGGAAGTATGAGGAAGATAATGAAAATGGTCATACCTACTAGATTGTATCTATCATCAATTATTATTAATTCAACCTGCTTCACAAGATCGCCAACTTCATCACGAATCTTGAAAATTCATAATCAAGCAACCAAAAAAGAACTTGATTTGGTGTTTTTTTTCCTGTTCCTTTTGACTGATCCAATTTAACGGTATCTGCTCTTGGACGCTAAAAATCGCATTTCAAATACTCCCGGTTTTTAATTGGCTTCAAATTATCTGCTGACCAATAGAATTATAGACTGAGCCTCGTGATTAAAATAACTCTGGCCCTTCAGGCTCGCGTAAAACTCCGGCCCTTCGGGCACGCGTATGACTCCGGCCCTTCGGGCTCGCGTATAACTCCGGCCCTTCGGGCTCGCGTATAACTCCGGTCCGGCCCTTCGGGCTTGTATTACTCCAACCCTTTAAGCTCACATATAATTCCGGCCCTTCGTATTACTGAGTATCTCAGATTCACAGATTTTTGTCATGGAGGCGCGGGATTGATTGAAATAATGTTGTCAGATTTTTCTAAATTACATTGAAATATCGAAATTTGTAAATTATTATTTCAATTAGGAATCAGGAATAAAAAATTGAGATTGAATTTTCAATTTTTTGAGGGAGGCTTAGCCTCCTCTGCCTACTCTGACGAGCCACCACTGCTCTATGAAGCTATATTTAGAATCGCACTATGCCAGACAGCACATAGACATCTTAAAGACGTACCTAAAATGTCCACAAATGACAGTCAAGACGTATTAAAGACATCTTGAAGACTTTCTATTACAAAATCCAACGTCTTTCAGACGTCTGTTTGAAGACGTCTTCAAGACTAAGACATCCTAAAGAAGTCTTCAACAAAATGTCTTGAATATGTCTTTGAATCTCTTTTGAATACATAAACCATCATTGTAAACTGTAATGTGGGTACAAATTGGAGGACAAACTTGGACACACAGGAAACTGTAACGTCAGCACAAAAATGGAAGAAAAACTTAAACACACAGGAAACACACAATTCAGTCAATTAATGCACATTTACATTCAGTCAATTAATGCACCTTTATGTACCGATAATGTCTCGAAATAGTTCATTGATCTACAATCACAAAATTAGTCTAGAAAGTCATTGAAGTGGTGGTTCACTACAAAACCCCAGGCCCCACGTTGGGCGCCAAATATGTAGCGGGGGCAACGGTAGTGGCTATGGCGTCGCAAGGTTAAGCGTTACAATCTTTAATACTTTGTGTGTTGTCTAGGTCTCAGTCCTTGGAGTAAATGTATTTATCTGACAGTTTCTTCCAACAATGTTAGTTTGTCGTGCTCTTCAGGCTATTGATGGACTTTTCTTATCTTCCAAGTTTTCTTGATCTTGTTTGTCAATAATTTTTCTCCACAGCTTAACATTTGTCTGCTGTCCTTTCTAATTCTTCATTTTCCAATTTGTCAATAATTTGCTGAAATAAATTTACCAAAATGTCCATGGAGATTAAACCACACTTTAACAAGTATGACAGTATTAACAGAATGTTGTATATCGGTAATATAGAGGTGTGTGCAGGCATACATTTATGATTGGCTGTCATGCACATCCTTGATGTTGTGACTGATTAATTTCAATGATGTCAAATTTATCTTGTATAGCTTATTGCAACCGAAAATATTATCGCTAACTATATTTTCCAAATATACACACAAACATCAATTTTCTCTTTTTATCCGACAATCATGTCGAGCTTAAATGCATAATTGAATTCACCGGAAAATATATACTCTGAACTTCATTCAACGTTTCATTAAACCAGACACGTAAAGCTGTTTAAATGTCTGACTGTGTAAGTGACGTGGAAATTTTCCTGTCTCGCGCCTTGTTTTTTTTCTCATATAAACTTTTCGACGAAATACATTTATTTTTTTCCCGGTGCGGAACGCGAAAAATCCAATATATCAAACTCCATAATAATTTCGAATGTGGAATTTTACCACCCCTATAAACACGTGAGAGCGATGCTAGAGAAAAAATTATTGAGCAAAAAGTTGACGTTAATAATGGTGCTTTGAAGCTTTTCCAAATTAGATTTATTTGGATAAACAATCCAATCTGAATAATACAAATTGCATCGTATTTATTATTTTGTCTAAAAACACCCTTCAGAGACGTTTATAATCAAACTGAAAAAGAATCCCACCAGCTGCGCCAACTTCATTAATGAATATTTCACTTTCTAAGGAAATATTACTCCAATTAAGAAATGGCGTCAATTATTTATTAATCCGAAATTTAAACAACCCCTTTGATGATAATTTGATGAGCCTCATCCACATCAAAATAAATGATAGAATTGCATTGCTCCAAAACGATAAAACGTTCCCGTCCGCTGTTAATTCTAAGCGTATTCATCGCAACGAGTTCCAATCAGTCGGAATCATCATCGATTATTTGCTGGAATATACACGGCAGCACTGTTATTTTGCTGATTAGAGCTTTTCAACTTGCTGCCAATAATCCAATGACAGTGTTTACCGGTCCGGTTCTTCCGGTCCCCTGATGTCCAATTCTAATGCCAGCATAATACGAACCGGAGCAAAATGATTATAATAATATGTGAATCAAATGCAACACAAACACTACCTATTTATATACATATAAAAATTCAATTGGTATTTTTATTTTCAGATTTTCCAAGGGTGAGTGTCGGACCTGAAAATCCACTTCGCGTCGAGAGAGACTCTCAAGCAACCCTCGAATGCGGCGTGGACGCCAAACCTAAAGTGACTGGGGTCAGATGGATGAGAAATAGCAGATTTATCAGTTCAAATTATAATCACATAATACATAGAGTATCTATACAGGATGCTGGTAAGAAGAATTTTATTATAATAATATTTTTCAATATAAATTAATGAAGTTCAACTAGCTTGGATGCTGATTTTTATGATGAAATTTTCGATTTGAGTTGTTGAAAAGGCCCAATCCTAATCAAGCTCCAAATATTATCACCAATATACAGACCAGACCAACCTACTAGATACATTGAAAGTAATAAGACGAATTACCTTGTACCCGGTCTCAGCGAACAATGAATGATCCACTGTGACGACCCTGCAGTGAAATGTGCATCAGTCAACTGGTCCCATTGAAACCCATGTGTCTAGTAGCCTGGTTCTGTCTGACTATATGTCTGCTGGTCAGAATTATCCGAAAAACACCACATTGAGATAATGCAAAACTCTGTTGGGATTGATTTGAAAGGGGAGCCTTCACAGGCAGCAAGTAGAGGCGCATGTGCTATCCCCCTCTTGATGCAGCCCTGTCTCACCTTAGGCGTCTTCAACTATAAAGAAAAGTGCAGACCCGCTCAAGTCGAACATGCTTTATTTCATCAGGTTCCAGGAAGCTGCACCCTTTAGTCGAGATAGACGGAGTCAAACAGAAAATGGCTATTCAGGCCTCTGCCTGGATTTAATAAAGAGTTGATAGGGATGGACACACAAATTTGGTTTTCACCGACTCTATTTAGAGCAAATGGTCCAATATTCCCACACTAACAATTGATTTTGAAAACCAGAGCAGCAGTACCTATTTAAAGTCTGAAAATCTGAATTGACTAGATAGCTAGATAAAAAATTAAAATATAATAATTAAAAACTTACTAATGATATGATAATATGCATTGATAGCAAAATATATTGAAAAATCTATGAGGGAGAATCCAAAAATATAGAGCAAAAATTATTAAAAATAAAAAGGACTCGCCTGCTAGACTACTGTCGAGAAAAGAGAACGTTTTAGAAACCAAACCCCACAGGAAAACGATTCTGTGTTATTTATACTAAACTGAATTTTAACGAGTTCAACCAATCAGACGAGTACACCCAAAAGATCATATTCACTTTATAACGACATCACAATGAAAATCCACGTGGAATAAAAGAGAATAGATAAAAATCCACTAGAATTATTTCAATTGTTTACAAATTATAATAATTTAAATTAAGATTATGTCAAAAATAAAAAACTATTAATTAATTAGGTCATCAAGCCAAAAAATGATTATTTCAGAATCAAAAGTTAGAGAAAGACAGAAATATATCCATTTGCTAAAAGTGAGATAAATATAATTTCTTTCAATGAAAATACAAATGACTGTCAAATGCGAAATAACTAAAATCATACTTTGAAAAATAAATCCATCAGGTACTAGATGGCAGTACCTTCATTTAATAGATATTCGCATTTTACGCACATGATGGATAGATGGCAGTACTTGTATTATTTTGAACTTTATGGTTATTTTTAGAATATTAGGAAATAATATTTTGCTGATTCTGAAATGGAAAAAATACAACTTTATAATGAAAATAAGAAGAGATGGAACATGTTACGTAGATGATAAATTTATCGTAACAACGGCTGGCTCAGTCGGTAGAGCATGAGACTCTTAATCTCAGGATCGTGGGTTCGAGCCCCACGTTGGGCGCCAATTTGTTACAAATTAAACACATTACCTTGTGCCATACAATTCTTCAGCACGGTAGCTATACCTATAGATTGACAACAATATTTTTCTTTTCTTGCAGGAAAGTACATGTGTAGTGCCGATAACGGTTTAGGCAAAGTAGGCGAACAAGAAATCACTTTGGACGTCCTTTACGCTCCAATAGTAATTTTGGAAGCCAAAACGAAAGAAGCCGAAGAAGGTGAAACAGTTTTCATTAAATGTAACGTCACGGCGAATCCCAGCCCCGTCACCGTCGAATGGGTGAGTGATAATTTGAATTTTGCGTTTTACGTCCACCCTAATTGGTTTACGACCTTCATAACCTTGTTTATGACGTCCTATTCAAATTTTTTTTAATATTTTATCGCGCCAAAGTGCTGCTTTACAGCATATAGAAATAAACTTTTGCCCTTTCCGCCCCATAAACTTTAATTAACTATTTTTTATACTTTTTTTTATTACGCCCCGAGGTTTTTAATGAACTTTTATATGAGCTGTCATGTCTGTTATATAACTAACAATCAAAACAAAAATGTTTTTCCAGCTCAAGGACGGTAAACCCGAATTTCGCCAATCAGGTGACACCCTAAGAATCTCGCACGTGACTGCAGAAAACTCTGGCACATACGTTTGTAGGGCTTTGAATGTTTTATCGCCCTCTGGACAAGGTTCACGCAGATCAGAACGTGTAGGCAATGCCTCAGTGGCTCTATTAGTCAGACATCGGCCTGGTAGAGCCAGAGTGTCTCCTAGTAGGCCTGTGGTATCAGAAGGCGGAGCTGTAACGTTAAGCTGCGCAGCATCGCCTCCTGGCTGGCCTGCGCCACAATACAGATGGCTCAGAGTCGGTTCGGACGGTCAACCCACTATTTTAGCCACAGGAACCAAATACACAATAGCTAATGCTAATTTGGCAGCCGAAGGTACCTACAACTGTCAGGCTACTAATGAATTAGGGCCTGGTGAAATGGCTTCAGTAGATTTGGAAGTCCATCAACCACCTACGTTTAAATACAAGTTGAAACCTTTGGAAACTAAGCGGGTGGGAGAATCGAATTTTGCTGTTTCTTGTAGTGCTAGAGGCAAACCTAGGCCTATTGTTAAATGGTTGAAGGACGATGACGAATTGACTGCGGATGTTAATATGTTTGAGGTAAGAATTTGTTCGTGGCTCCTATGTTCCAATACTATAATTATTGTATGTTTCTATGCAGGTCAAAACTGAATATTCTGAAGCAAACAATGGCGCAGTAAATGTCCAAAGTGTCTTGAGATTCAACGGTAAAGCCAGGCCGAATGACAATGAACTTTTACCTTCTGACAGAGGAGTCTACACTTGTAGTTTTGAAAATGAAGTACGCAGAACAGAGTCTACAATGCATTTGAAAATTGAACGTAAGTTATTAAAATCTAAGAGGTGAACCGCTGGGTGTACAAGCTTGGGGATGTCCAGAAATATCCCAGGATTTCCGGGGATGTCCCAGGATTTCAAGGGATGTTCCAGGATTTTTGGGGATATTCGGGAATTTCCATGATGTTCAGCAGGGTCCTTATTTTTGAAACAGGGGAGCAGCGTTCCCAGGAGAACCAGTGTTCCGTCTTTCTCAATGATATGCAAATGATAATATAAGTAACAAAGACGGAACACTCGTTCTCCTGGGAACGCTGCGCCCCTGTTTCAAGAATGAGGACCCAGGGAATATCCGGGGATCTCCCAGGAGATGTGGGAATGTCTACCTAATTAAAAAATCGTGCATTTTCTTTTATCAAAGTAACATCAGCTGCAAGGTATACCCTTCTTTCTCCATCAGCGTATGTTAGTATACAGGGTGTTTCACTAACATCGGAACAGAGGCGTTTTGGGGTATTTCAAGGTCGATTTAAAAAGAAACGCTTGGGCACGTCAATTTTGTATTCAAGGGGGAAACTTTTTGTCCCCGTCGGTATTTCAGTAGGGTACACCCCCTGGGTGGGGTACCCCTTTTTTTGAGATAGGGAAGATGGGTCGAGTGGTAGCTTGTTTTAAAGGTATTTTGATTCTCGTCCCAACGGTGTATGAACAGTAGAACCCCGATTATCCGAGATAACGTTGGGGGGTAACCACCTCGGATAACTGAAAACTCGGATAGTCCGAATGTACATGAATAGGCTACATAAGAAAATCCGTGTACAAGTTGGTCAAAATCCCAAAAAATCTCGTAAGAATTACTTAAAATCCCTAGAAATCTTCAAAATCCCTAAAAATTTAACAAAACCCCACAAAATCGCATAAGACCTTACAAAATCTCACAACATTTTATTGAAACTAAAAAAATCCCGCAAATTCCTATAAAATCCTTAACATTCCTAAAAAATATTTCCTTTAAAATCCCCTCGAAAATCCCCAAAAATCCTTTAGAATCCCCAGAAATCTGTTAAAAACCCTGTTAAATCGTGTGAAGATTTTCAAAATCCTACAAAAAAATTTAAGATCTGTGTACATATTGTAAGGAGTTAACCACCCCTCGATAATACCTGATCTAATTCATTATTCCTCATAGCTTCAGTAACTGGAACATGGTAAAGTTTGTTAACCTGTTACAAGGACAGGTAATAATGATACTAATACTCTTGAACAAGCCTTGCTCAAAAGACCAATAGACTTCAAAAATATATCAAAGATATGTACAGAAAGAAGGGATATCCAAGGATGTTCAGGGATTTCCGAGGATATCTAGGGATGTCCAAGGATGTCTGAGGATGTTCAGAGATGTCCGAGGGAGTCCTGGGATGTCTTGAGGTGGTCCAGGGATATAATTCAGTGGGGGGTATAGATTTTGCTTAGCGGTTCACCCTTCGTCAAAATCATAAATAATTTTTTAGAATTTTTTTATCGTCTGTTATATAATTTATAGTGTGTTAATTTAAGTGGCATGCAGAATTATTAATTAAAAATTAATAAAAAAAAATGTTTGCGTCGACTGGGATTTGAACCCAGGACTCCTGCATTTCCAGTGCAATGCTCTTACCAACTTGGTAGCTCAGTTGGTTAGAGCGTTGCACTAGAAATGCAGGAGTTTTGGGTTCAAATCCCAGTCGAGGCAAGAATTTTTTTTATCAATTTTTAATTAATACGTTTGCATTCCACTAAAACTAACACTCTATAAATCATAAATAACTTTCACAATTTAAAATATTACTCCCAATTTAGATGAACCAATTGTTCTACACCAATACAACAAAGTCGCCTACGACGTAGCAGAAACGGCCGAAGTCGTATGCAGAGTCCAGGCCTATCCGAAACCAGAATTCAAATGGTTCTTTGGCAACAACATAAACCCCTTGCACTCGTCATCAGAAAGCCACTATGTGGTGCAAACTACGGCTGAAGAAGACGACATATACACGAGCATCTTACGCGTTTCGCACATCAAAAAACAAGATTACGGCGACTACAATTGCCAAGTGGTCAACAGCCTAGGAAAAATCGAAACTAAGATTCGGTTGCAACCGAAAGGTCCACCCGAGAGGCCTAGTAAACTTGCCGCCCTCCACACAGGGCCTACTTTTGTAACTTTGGGTTGGGAGCCTGGGTTTAATGGTGGAGTTTACAATACTAAATATTTTGTGTCATTTAAACGAATTCCTAGCGAAGATGATATAATGATTGAGGGTTGTGGGCCTTTGATGAAGAATTCTGATTGGGCTGAAGTGGATTGTCAGCAAAATATGCCATGTAATGTGAGCCATTTGGATCAACATCAGACTTATCTTTTTAAGGTAATGAATCATTGAGTTTCAGAAAATATTTATGTTTAATAATTATGATTATTATAGGTCAAAGCTTTGAACACCAAAGGCATAGGCGAAAATTCTCAAGAAATCCGGGCTACAACCAGGGTAGATAGGATACCAATACCTCAAAGGGTGGCTTATGATAGGTCTGCAAACAGTCTGTCAATTAATGTACCTGCAACATGTCTTCCTCTAGTAGCTGTAATTGAAACCATAAGCAACGAAAATCATCCGGTGACTGCTTGGCAAGTGATTGATACACTTGCTCTACAGGTAATATAACATTTTATTTACAACTCCCAGCATTTATATTATACTGTTTTACAGGTTTCCGGATTAATACCAACATCCAAAGAAAAGAGCTTAGACAAAATGATGACTCGAGGTTTTGGTAACTCTTTGGGACGTTCTTTAGTAGACGAGCCAATTGGTATGGATGAGTACAGCCCTAGAGTACGAGTGAAGCTTTGTTTGAGAACACACCATGATCATTGTGGGGAATTTGTTGAAGCAGAATGTAAGTATAATCTAGACATCAATCATTGACTATTTGAAATTACATTTGTTGTTTATTTCTAGTGGGCTACGCAAATTCTCTCAGAGAAGCTTCAGCATTGACTACTCCAACTTTGATAGCGATCATAGTTACGTGCGCTCTTTTCCTAATAAGCGCTGGTCTACTTTTGGTATTTTGTAGATGTCGAAGGGCGCAGCACGGCAAAAAGGCTCAACAAGCAAAAGATTTGGAAATGGAGTCTGTTAGACCTACAATTATACCAGCTAATGGCAATGGACAACAGGTAAAAATACGATTTTTAAGTTTTGTTTTTTCTTCTTATGGGTTTTGTTGACATTTTTATTTAATTTTGCTTATTCGTTTTATATTTTGACTAAATATAATACATATATTTTTTTCTTAATGCTTTCGAAAATTTTTGCCCATAAGAAGGAAATGGGAACTCTAACTCTAAAACGAGAGTGACCAATAATTGTAAGTAGAATTTGGGCTAAAAATGCATCTAGCAAAAATATAAACATATGTCTAACTTTATTTATTTACAGCTCAATTCACCTTTGTTCCAGAACCAGGCCCCACCACCCTACTACGCACCGGGTCTGGACAACCAAGCCATGGATCTGCAAATGGCCTTGGACGATCAAAAAGCTGTATACGCAGCTACGCAAAACGGCTACGGACATTATGGAGAGCCCAGAAACGATTGGAATTATCTTGGTAATAATATTATTATTATTAAATCAACATATTAAATTTGAGGCTAAATGAATTACTTTTTCCAGATGCTGGCTATACGACAACGATTCCAGGAAACGGAAGCGTAGACTCGCAAGATTCTTTATGGCAACTTAAAATGGCAGCTAACGGTGGACCACAGTACGATCAATATGGCGGACACGACGACTACGCTCATTTTCCACAAACTCAAGATCCTTATGCACAAGTAAGTAATTTTACTCCAAATAATTCTAGTGCAGTAAAAATAAATTATGACCTGGGCAAAATTGCAACATAAAGACACTAAGGGAACAGATAGTGCAGGGTTACAAAAAAAAGGTGTAAGTGCTATCAACAGATGCAGTCAAGAACCTTCCCTCAACGGAATCACCTGTCAAGTACCATAGTCTATTACTCCGTACATATTTGCAAATTTGTATATGGAATGAAGTTTACATGAGAATTTCATACATCTGTTAAAACTGGTATTCGAACAATAAATTGACATGTTTTGATTGTTGATTTGAACCAATCAGATTGTAATTACGCGATAATTTGCACTAGTGCAAATTATCAGATAATTGCATACTAACTGGTGCGAAAACTGATGTTTTGACATTTTTTGACAAAAAATTTAAATTTTTGATTTATGAAATTCTCTCATTAATACAACTCGTGCAATGGAAATATATTTATAATTTTCGACAAATTTGCACTCATGCGTTTTTAACTGATTCGGGCAAATTTCCCAAAAATTATCAATAATTTCCATTGCACTGGTTATATTACTATTGAGAATTTCAGGCAGATAAAGGGTAAACCACCGAATGCCCACCACAAATTGGCGCCCAACATGGGGCCTCCAGGGATCTTTGTCCACGACTTGCAAAAGTAAAGTGAGATTGGTGGTAATATAACCACATGAGTAAAATACTTGTCACGAAAAATTTGAAACAGAAAATCAATGAAAACGGAAACGTTGAATAATCTACTCTGAAAACGAGCTAAACCGCGATCAGCTGACATTAACCTACTCGATCCAGGATTTACGTTTCCGAAACCAGCTTTGGTTTACACAGTTCCTCGATCCAGAGCAGATAAAGGTTAAACCACCGAATGCCCGCCACAAATTGGCGCCCAACATAGGGCCTCCAGGGATCTTTGTCCACGACTTGCAAAAGTGAAGTAAGATTGGTGGTAATATAACCATATGAGTATAATACTTTGTCACGAAAAATTTGAAACAGAAAATCAATGAAAACGGAAACGTAGAATAACCTACTCTGAAAACGAGCTAAACCGCGATCAGCTGATATTAACCTACTCCATCCAGGATTTACATTTCCGAAACCAGCTTTGGTTTACACAGTTCCTCGATCCAGAGCAGATAAAGGTTAAACCACCGAATGCCCGTCACAAATTGGCGCCCAACGTGGGGTCTCCGGGGATCTTTGTCCACGACTTGTAAAAGTGAAGTTATATTGGTGGTAACATAACCATATGAGTGTAATACTTGTCACGAAAAATTTTAAACAGAAAATCAATGAAAACGGAAACTTTGAATAATCTACTCTGAAAACGAGCTAAACCGCGATCAGCTGATATTAACCTACTCCATCCAGGATTTACGTTTCCGAAACCAGCTTTGGTTTACACAGTTTTTCGATCCAGAGCAGATAAAGGTTAAACCACCGACTGCCCGTCACAGATTGGCGCCCAACGTGGGGTCACCGGGGATCTTTCTCCACGACTTGCAAAAGTGAAGATTGGTTTTGATTGTTGATTTGAACCAATCGTCAGATTGGAATTACGCGATAATTTGCACTAGTGGAAATTATCGGATAATTGCATAGTAACTGATAAGAAAACTGGTGTTTTTTTTTTTTTTTGATTTATGAAATTCTCTCATAAAATACAACTCGTGCAATGGAAATATATCTATAATTTTCGACAAATTTACACTCATGCGTTTTTAACTGGAAAAGGCTATTTTTCAACTAAAATGCATTCGGCAAATTTCTCAAAAATTATCGATAATTTCCATTGCACTCGTTATATAACGGTTGATAATTTGTATGTACTGAAAATAATGGATTTGCCACTAGCACCTGAAAGTAAGATGTAACTACAAAACCGGCTGTGGTGCCATGAAATATAGTTGCCGAAAAAACGGTTTGGAATGTACCAGTTCATGTGGTCAGCCAATTCATTCTAATTTTTGTTCACCTATGGAAAATAACCCATACTTTGAAATAATGTTTTTTTTTCTTGTAGTTGTACTTAGAAGTTTAATGTGTGATAAAGTTTTCTCTAATGAATAATGTAATTTGAGTGATTCAATACCTAATACACACACAGTTATAAATTTTGTAATGAAAAATACAAAATTCAGCCCTCATCTTGGATTTTGACTGATTTCCTGGGCCGGGACTAATGGGGATTTTGGATGCCTATATTAAAATAGACACTTTTCACAATAGAATGCAAAAAGAATCATTTGTGTTGCAATTTTGCCCAAGTCAAGGGAAAATTTACATCATATTGACTGCACTATTCCTCAAACTTATTAATTTCGTGTTTCTAGGTTCACAAACCAAAAAAGCGGCTAGAATCTCCAGCAGTTTACCGAGACACTCCCGGTCTCCCGGATCCATACATGGAACAATTAGACGATGATAAGCCACCCCCGCCCCCGCAACACATGTCTTTAGCTTACGAGGAATCACTGGAAAGTGGATATTCGACACCGAATTCGCGTACACGTAGAGTCATCAGGGAAATTATAGTGTAGAATTGGACTACTCGGGTGTAAAGAAAAATATGCAAAAACCAGCCAAGATCATAGTGTTTTGTGTGTTTTTTTTTTTGTAAAAATAGTCTGTTTTTTAATTCATCAATAATTGTGTGTAATTTCATTCAAATATTCACATACAGATTTGAACAATCCTGTTTGTGAACCAAAATCACCTACTTTTGCTCTCTATATGGAATAAAATACAAATTAATCGGCCCAATTTACTTAAATATTAACTAAACGACGAATTTTCGAAGAAAAAAAATGTGATTTAGATTGCAATACTTTATTGTTGTGCTTGTAATTAATAATTTTTGTTTACTTTTGTGTTACTTAAAAATCAAATTTGTAAATGTACAAAATAATAATTTTAGGTTTAAGTTTATTTTGCCCTCTGCAAGAATTTTTTATATGACTGAACGTGTGGATTTGAAAAATGATCTGCTAAATATAAATTCCAACAAATAATATGCCATATCAAAAATCAATGTCGCAAGATTTTTTTGTGCCAAACACCTCTCTGCTTGTTTTGTACTTAAATTTGTTTCCTGTCATTTCGTAACCCCTTGGTTTTTTTTTTTGTTGATCTCAATCTTGAATTTTTCAAGTATCTTCCAATTTTTAATGACCTCATTATTTAATAAAGGCTGATTTACACTATTATTGGTAGTGTGAATTGGCTTTAAAAATGATGTCAATAAGAATAAACATTATTACAAAAGATGCTTGAAAAGTTTGACAATATAATCCAATAATAAATATATTTAGATTTAATTGAAAATTTTTATATTTTTTTATAAATTGTATAAATGCGCAAACATAATACTTACATTACGATATTATATTTAAGAGTTTTTTATTTATTAATTTTAGTGATCGTTTATTTTTGTATATTTGAAAGTATGTTGTATATAAGACACAAAAAGACTATTTGAAATACTATTTAAGTAAGAGGTAATTTTTAGCTATGATAAGGTCGGACTTTCGTTTTTAAGGTTGTACATAATACAGAGAGAAGAGAAAACTACACTTGTAAGCACTTTTTCTTTTTAGTTTTTGTAAATAAATGTCTATATATTTATGAGGGAGTTTTTATTTTGTCTATTATGAAATTTTGCATGAAGTATTTCTCAGAAATTAAAGGTGATTCAATAGATATTTTGTTGCATCTATGTAAGTGAGAAAAAATTCATAGGTAATTCCATTTGCGGATTGTTCTGTTTGATAAAAAAAAAATCAACTCAATAAATGGATTTGGTAATACTGTGAAAAAAAAACTTCTTATTCTTCCAGAAAAATGCGCATCCCGTTTTTTTTTTGTCGTTTTTGAGATATTTACTTACAAAATGTGTCAGTTCATCTAAGGACCCTTTATATGTATACCTACAGAAATGACACCTATTTACAGTCGATTTTTTGGAATCGAAAAATTTTTTGGACTATTCAATTTTTATCAAAAAGAGAGTTTTATAATGAAATAATTTAAATTAATGGTATAGGTAGCACAACTCAGCAAAATATTAATTTTTTCTACTGACGTTTCATAATATGCCTAAAAACAGATTTTCATTATGATACAGATCTGTAACTCAGTTAATAATTAGTCAATTCTATTTTTTCTTGGACTATTTAGGAGCACCTAAAAAGCACCTAATTCTGATACAAAAGAAAATTTTGGAAAAATATTTTTTACTATATGGGACTACTAGCTTTTATAAACCTAGCAATTGCTTAGTTTTTTTTTGATTTTCTCAAAAACTAGAGAAGCACCTAATTTTTAATTAGAGGCCCTGATTAGCACCTAAAAAGCACCTAATTATTATATAGATCCCGAAGTTTTTTTTCCATTCTGACACACCAACATGTAATCGTAAAGCCAGCAGTCCCCTAATAATTAAAGAAAAAATCTGTAACTCAGTTAATAATTAATCAATTCTATTTTTTCTTGGACTATTTAGGAGCACCTAAAAAGCACCTAATTCTGATGCAAAAGAAAATTTTGGAAAAATATTTTTTACTATAGGGGACTACTAGCTTTCAAAAACCTATCAATCCCTTGGTTTTTTTTGATTTTCTCAAAAACTAGAGGAGCACCTAATTTTTAATTAGAGGCCCTAATTAGAACCTAAAAAGCACCTAATTATTATATAGATCCCGAAGTTTTTTTGCCATTCTGACACACCAACATGTAAACGTAAAGCCAGCAGTCCCCTAATAATTAAAAAAAAAATCCTGTAACTCAGTTAATAATTAATCAATTCTATTTTTTCTTGGACTATTTAGGAGCACCTAAAAAGCACCTAATTCTGATACAAAAGAAAATTTTAGAAAAAAAATTTTTACTATAGGGGACTACTCGGGGGACTATTAGCTCTCATAAACCTAACAATCCATTAGTTTTTTTTGATTTTCTCAAAAACTAGAGGAGCGCCTAATTTTTGATTAGAGGCCCAAATTAGCACCTAAAAAGCACCTAATTATTATATAGATCCCGAAGTTTTTTTTCCATTCTGACACACCAACATGTAAACGTTGTATCAATAGGACTATATTTGTTGAATCAAGCTTTATTTCATTAATACAATTTTATAGTCCTATTGATACATGGTGTCAGGTGTGGGGTTGAAAAATGCTAAAACTGGCGCGGTTGTTAATAAATGTTGTAAGTTTGATAATGATTTGTCATGTTCATTGGTCCAAGTCCAGTCAACGTCTTGTCTTGTCAAATTTCGAAGGGGGGCAGTTACTTTGGACATGTTTGGGACAAACTTGCCCAAAAATTTTGCCATGCCTAATAACCTCAAAAGATCAATTTTACTTTGCGGTTTGGGCATATCTGTGATAGCATTAATATAGGACTGACACGGTTTAACACCATCCTTAGAAAAAACCTGACCAAGATACTTCACTTCTTCTGACTTAAACTGAATTTTTGACATGTTAAATTTTATGTTAAATTTTGATGCTCTATCTAAAACGTTTTTCAAAATTTTGTCATGTTCCAACTCTGTCTCCCCAGCAATTATCAAATCATCAAAATATTTCTGCACTCCCTCAATATCCCCAAAGAGTTCAAAATTCTTTCGCTGAAACACTTCAGGGGCAGAACTAATACCAAATGGAAGTCGACAAAATTGGTAACGACCGAAAGGTGTGCCAAAAGTACAATAGTCAGATGATTGATCATCAATTTTGACTTGAAAGTAGCCATCTTTCATATCTAGTACAGAAAAAATGACTTTACGAGTCAGTTTACTAGCAATTTCGTCGGCTGTTGGAATTATAAAATGCTCACGCTGTATGTATTGATTCAAAAACTTTGGGTCCAGACACAACCTCAAATCACCATTTTTTTTTCTCAACAATAACCAAAGGATTTAACCACTCAGTAGGTTTTTTAACTTTCCTTATAATCCCTTGAGCTTCAAGATTTTTTAGTTTTTTGTTTCACACGCTGGTGAAGTGCTTGAGGTATACGCCTGACTGCCTGAATATGTGGTATATAACCTTGTTTCAAAATGATCTTATGCTCATTTGGAAAATAGCCTAATCCATTAAAAACTTGAGCATACATTTTCACAATATCCTGTTTATTGTCAAAATGTAAACTACAATTATCAATTCTCCTAATTAAGTTTAAAGCTAAACATCCTTTCAATCCTAACAAAGGCAATTGATTTCTACTATCAACCACAACAAAAGACAAGCAAGCGAATTTATCCCTAATTTCACAATTTAAATAAATTTCTCCAAGTGGTTTAATTTTAAAATCTGGGCTGCCATAAGAAATTAAAGTCATATTAGACTTTTTTAATTTAAAATGCCTGTTAATTTTTTCTAAATTTCTAAGAGGAATCACGCTCACCTCCGCTCCAGTATCAAGTTTAAACTCAATCAATTTACCTTCAACTTTTATCTGCTTGCACCACATAACTTCACTGTTGGATTGAATACCATCAACCCTTTTCACTAGGGAACTTACATAAAAATCACTTCACTGCTCTCACTTTCATCTTCAGAATTGTCCTCCGCTTTCACTTCACTTACCCTTTTTCCTTTCTTGTTACCATAGCTTCCATAAGCCTCTTTTCCATGCTCCTTTCTCCAACACACACTAGCAAAATGATTTTTGCCATTACATTCCCCGCAGACTTTCCCAAAAGCAGGGCATTTTCCTTTATTATGATTATAGCCACAATAATCACACTTTTTCTTCTCCAGACTATTGGGCAGTTAATTTCTTTCCAACTTTTTTTGGGTCTTGACAGCGCTCACAAAAGCTTCTGATTGCAGAGCCTTTGCTTGAGATTTGCTTGCCTCAGTGGCCCTACAAAAATGTATAGCTTTCTGCAAAGTAAGGTCCTTCTCACCAAGAAGCCTTTCCTGTATAGATTTATCAAGAATTCCTATTACTATGCGGTCCCTTACCATTTCTAGTGGTTCAGAATACTCCGTAGTTTTAACAGCAATTTTGAGGTCTGTCACAAAACTGTCAAAACTTTGGCCCTCTTTTTGTACCATAGAATTGAAAACAAACCTCTCATAAATAACATTTTTCTGGGGTGCACAGTGCTCCATAAACTTTTTCTTAATTTCCTTTAGGGACTTCTTCTCCTCGTCTGTCAAAGTAAACGAGTTGTAGATATCTAATCCTTCCTCGCCAATGAGGCTCAAAAATACAGCAATTTGCTTTTTCACGTCTTTAGTATCCAAATCCGTAGCAGTCATGAACAAATCGAATCTTTGTTCAAAATTTTTCCAGTTATCCGCTAGATTACCTTGAATGCTTAAGGGTTCTGGCGGTTTAAACATAGACTCCATGGTTCTCCGGGGTTCAAAACTTCTTTTCCAGGGCTCAATCTAGTCTACCTGACACCATGTATCAATAGGACTATATTTGTTGAATCAAGCTTTATTTTATTAATACAATTTTATAGTCACTTGACAAACTTTAATACTTTGTCAGGGCCGATCCTAGGGTGTCGGCCGCCCGCGTGCAAAGAGCAATTGTGCCGCCCCATAGAGATAGCCCCCCGCCCGTACGTAGGCCCCGCCGGAGGCAGAAATTTTTTTTGGGTGCCACACCCAAAAACGTTCATTTCGTTCGAGTAAATAAGAAACTTGTTTGAAACATATTTGTTTTCTATGAGTTGTTGGAATGCGGGTGAGTTGAGGGGTGAGTGATAATCAATAATGACACTATCTTAAAACTAAGTAGGGCCTGGGTACGAAATTAAAAAATATACTTTACGTACTCCATATTTTACATAACATATACCCACCTGCACTTGGGATCAAAAAAGTTGGTTAAATTGTTAGCAAAGTATTCACCAAGTGCTATTGGATGGTTCGGTTAGTAGTTATTCTTGCAGAAAAGGAACAGAATTCAGAAATGAACGTTTTGAGAAAACAAAGCAATAGTGATAATTCAGAAAATATTTAAATAAATGCGATCCAATGAGAGCTGTGTAAATAAGACTTAACTGTGAACAGCAAAAACATTAATGAGTCAAGCCAACACACTGATTGTGCAGTAAACCTTCTATTTATGCTATCGGGAAATCGGGGTTTATTTTGACTTTTCAGGAGTTTTTTAAAATTCAGCTTAGGTATTCCTTTATTAGAAGTAGTTATTGAGAAATTTGTAAAGTTTCATTTGAATCAACGCTTGAATCATGAATGACAGAACTATAGGCGGCCTGTGGCCGCCCCCAGATTTGGCCGCCCGCGACACCATCATGTAAACGTAAAGCCAGCAGTCCCCTAATAATTTAAAAAAAAAAATCTGTAACTCAGTTAATAATTAATCAATTCTATTTCTTCTTGGACTTTTTAGGAGCACCTAAAAAGCACCTAATTCTGATACAAAGAAAAAATTTGAAAAAATATTTTTTACTATAGCGGACTGCTAGCTTTTATAAATCTAGCAGTCCCTTAGTTTTCATTGATTTTCTTTAAAACTAAAGGAGCACCTAATTTTTAATTAGAGGCCCTAATTAGCACCTAAAAAGCACCTAATTATTATATAGATCCCGAAGTTTTTTTTTCCATTCTGACACACCAACATGTAAACGTAAAGCC